TGAATATTATTCAGACTTAAAAAGAAAATAAACTCTGACACATCCTACAACATGGATAAACCTTCAGGACATTATGCTAAGTGAAATAAATCAGTCACAAAAGACAAATACTACATGATTCCACCTCTGTAAGGTATCAAGAGTAGTCACAGAAACAGAAAGTAGAACAGGCTGAGAGAAGGGGGACTGGGGAGTTATTGTTTAATAGGTACAGAGTTTCAGGTTTGAAAGATAAAAATGTTCTGGAGATTGGTTGCACAATATTGTGAATATAATTAACATTATTGAACTGTACACTTAAAAATGGTTAATATGGTAAATTTTATGTTATGTGTGTTTTACCATTTTTACAAACTAAAAGTGGGCAAAGCATATAAATGAGATAGTTACAATGATAAGGTATATTTATCCATGAAAACTATATGAAAAAAATTTTTAACCTCTCTTAGTAATAAAAGATAACAATTTAAAATCAAGCATTCTGTGTCTCCCTCTCTCTCTTCCCCTCCCCTACTCACACTCTGTCTCTCTCTCAAATATATTTTAAAAATTAAAAAAAATAAAAAAATAAAATTAATTATACCTCAATAACAAAGAAGGGGGGAAAAAGCACTTAAAGACTGCTAAGGGCCAGTGCTGGGGTGGAGGTGGGAAAACTAGCCCTCATATGCTGTCAATAGGAGTATAAGTGGTACAAATATTTGGCAGTATGATCCAAAATGAAAATGTACATACTCTCTAGAGGACCCAGGAATTCTTCCAGAAATGTATCCAGAGAGAGAAAGAGAGAGACAGAATACTATTTCATCACAGCAAAACAACTGGAAATAATTCAACTGTACATTTATAGGCCACTGATTAGAAAGATGGCCCTCAGGACAGAACAGTATGCAACCACTAAACTTAATTTTCAAATAATTTGTAATTACACGGGAGAAAGCTTCTGACAAAATATTAAGTGTAAAATAAAAGATATACAAATTTCTTCATAATTTAACCACAAATATGTAAAATAAACACTTTTATGTGAACTTGTAGAAAGATTAAAATAAACCAAAAAAATAAAATAAACCAAAATTTATCTGAGTTAAACAGAATGTGAATCAATTTTATTTTCTTCTTTATATTTCCTACATTTTGTTTTCTACAAGTATTTATTTCCTGTAAGTATACATTTTCTACCATATATTTTCCACCAAGGTACAAAATAGAAAAGTATAGGGAGAGAGGTGCAGGTCAATCATCTAATCATCCTTTCTTTTAACAGGTATCTACTGAGTACCTACTAAAGTCATACACTGGGCTAGGGGCTCTAGGAAAACAACAGTGAGTAAAATCCATATGGTCCTGCTCTACTGAAGTTTTCAATCTAGTTGGGGAGACATATGTTAAGCAAACGATCACACAGAGGCATTTGGTGCTATGATAGCCTTAAAAGGGAGTCTAAGAAATTTGTTCTGTATCCTAAGAGCAAAATAGGAAGTGACCTGAACTGAAATGTACTGTAGAAAGAACATTTTGGCTGCAGCATGGGTGAACAAACTAGAGAGGAAGAGAAGATGCAGAGAGACCAACTAAAATGATCTTATGTACCTGCAAGCAAAATGGTGGCAGCTTGACCTAGAGGTAGAGACATGAATATCATCAAGATATGTCAAAGAGAAAATTGATAGTACTTGCATGTGCATCAAACATGGGGAGTGGAAGGGAAGTGGTCTGTGCACATGGAAGGATGGATATTCAATTCTGGAGGCAGGAAATGCAGGAAAAGGACAAGGTTTTGGGAGTGGGCTGAAGAAGATAAGTTAGGTTTAAGACAGGCTGAGTTGAGAGACTTTGCACTGCTCAGAACGCTATCAGATATTTGCTTCTATAGGTCAGAGAACAGGGCAGGGCTAGAAATATAAATTTAAGAATCACTGGCATATAGTCACTGAATTGTGAATGTGAGTAAGATAGCAAAGAAAGGGAGAGAGAGAGGGAGACAGAGAGACAGAGACAGAGAGAGAATGAGAGGGAACAAGAGAGGAGAGAGACAGAATAATTAGCAACAGGTCTGCTATGAGGCTTTAAAAGAACTGTAACATTTCAGGGCCAGGTTATGGAAGAGGAGTTTCCAAGGGTGACAGAAAAGCCAGCTGGGTAGGAAGGAGGAGTGTAGCATCACAGAAATGAGAAGAATGTTTCAAGAGTTTATGGAGGACAAATATATATGGAGCTCCTACCATGTATAAGGCTTTGTGCAATTGACAGTGATGTTCCAAATATGTGTCTGAGGCTACAGGCTTTATTATAAACACCTTTTTTTAATGTTTATTTTTGAGAGAGACAGAGAGACAGAGCATGAGTGGGAGAAGGGCAGAGAGAGAGAGGGAGACACAGAATCTGAAACGGGCTCCAGGCTCTGAGCTTTCAGCTCAGAGCCTGACTTGGGACTTAAAGTCGGAAACCACGAGATCATGACCTAGGCTGAAGTCAAATGCTTTACCGACTGAGCCACCCAGGTACCCTTATCATAACCACCTCTAAAGCTAAGCCTGGATTCAAAGTTTTTTCTCAGTCCAAACAGTACTCATTTCTCTCACCATTCCCAAATCCACTTGAACATGCAAGGTCACCATTTTTAGAAGTTCTATATTTTTAGGTTAAAAGAAAATAAATTTCTCCTCAGCCATAACAGAAATATTCAGATTACTCCTCTCTAGTATCTCTAGAAAATGGCCCAGTAAACTGAATTATTGTAAGCATCACAGAATTATTGTAAGCATCAAGTTCAATTAAATATATATAAAAGCACCTTTCTCTGGCACTTTACAATCGTAGGCATTTAAAAAACATGTTTCACAGCATTAGCACTCTGTTGAGCTAGTGTGTAACAAAGCTTTATTCAGCTGAATACACATATTAGAGTATTTTAAAATGAAGAAGCTAAAATTTATTATGTACCTTTTCTGTGCTAAAGACTTTATATTTGTTAATTTGATCTTTCCAATAACCCCAGGAAATATTACTTTCCACCTGAAAGAGATGAAACTGAGTAACTTGCTGCAAGTCTCACAGATGGTAATTTCCTGAGATGTGATAGAAATTCAAATTTGTACGACTCCAAAGCTCATGCTCATTTGTCTATAGCAGTGCCTCTCAAACTTTTTCATCAAGTGACCACAAATTGCAAAGGAAAAAACACCCATATTCCCAGGAGGCTTTGGATGATTACAGAGGTATCCAGTTTGAACTGGATCTTTCTTCTTATATTTATCTGAAAATTTATGTTTGCATTTTACTTTACAATATATTGGTTTATTTAATGTGTTTTAAGTAGCTTACCAGTTAAATCATTCAATTTTTCCCTCTCAAAAAAAAAAATTTTTTTTTGAGACTCTGACAGCATAGGAAGGTACATAAAAATCTCATAGCTTTGTTTAGTTCCTAGTGCCTGGCCTCATAAACCTGGATCCTACTTTGAAAGCCTAACTATAGAGCAAAATGCATTAAAGAAATCTTAAAAATTTTCTGACAACAATTATAGGCAATTTCTGACAATAATTATAGGCAACTCAAGGGTCAAAATAAGATATTAATAACGCTTAATTGTAGGACTACAGATAGAGTCTACTTTTAACTCTCCACTGTCAATGAAACTAAGTTCTAAACACGACCGATTCCACTGAGTTTGAGCAAACTAACTGAAGGACTAACCCTGAATATGTCAACACCACCTCTTCTTCATCCAAGACTGGTTGCTTTATAATCATGAATTCTCCTTACGTTTATGCAATGCCCACTGTGTGCCCAGATGTGACTCATACTAGTAGTTAACACTGAGTGGCAAACAAGCCTTATTTTGATTTGTCCTACCAGACTTTCCCCGCCTTACCAAATGGGGGACAAACACTTCTTCCTTTCTACTTCCCAACCCCCACCCCAAGATGGGCTCACAATTTGGAGGTAGTTCAGGGTAGAAGAAAGGTAATTTTTGTTTCAAGAAAACTGTCTAAGCTTCTATGTCCTTGTTTTATACCTCGTGGTATGATTGTGAGCACTTAAAATGTGTGGGATTTGCTAAAGTGCTCAACGTGTTTCCTTCCTTAGATCTTAAGTAGTTAGGGAGCTCTGATTTGCAATATTTAGGCAGTTCCTTTAAGCTAGGGGGAAAAAAATCAAGGCTAAGAATCTTACCAAAAGGTAGTGAACGAGTTACTCCCCTAAAGAAATCATACTCACCTAGCCAAGGAAAGACTGCATAAACCACCTTCCAAACCGCCTCAATTCCCTCAAAGTTCTCTTTCAGAATCGGGCCCTTCTCAACTCTGTACCAGAGTAGGAGATCTTGGGTAGCCCAACTATTTCCTCTTAAGAACGGGGAGCCCAGCCCACCACAGGGACATTACTTGCTTACTTTTCCAGCTACTTCTTAAGCCAGGTAGGCGCTGAACCCACGGTCTCGAAAACCACCATGCTTCACACTGAACTCGCGGAGAAAGCGTGGGTGCGTGCGGGGATTGGGCGCCCAGTGCTCCCCGCGGCGTTGGGGGGGCTGGCCCACAATCCCTCGCGCAGGCGAGGGCCGGAAAGGAGAAGGGGGAAGGCAAGGGGGACACCCGACAAGAAAAGCCAAGAAAGTGGAACCCTATAATGGAAGCACCGATTAATCCTTATATGGCCATTCTATATCCCAAACCGGTAACTAGCCAGGGTGTGCGTTACCCCCATTCAGGGAGCTCATTCCTATTAATAACTCTGAGGTTTCCACTCAAGGGGCAGGGCTGAGGTGAGATGTCGTGTGTAGGGCCTGGTCTCTGTCTTGCGGTCTTCATCCATCTTTTTACTGTCAGGATGTGCATTTTATGGGAAAACCCTACATGATGGGATTTGGAAGAACCACGACTAAAATGGTGCGGGTGCTTGAAAACCCGGCATTCCTCCTCAGTAAGGCCAAGTCCTAGGCCTCGAGCAGTCAGGCCCCAGACCCCGCCCCTTCCGCTTACGCGTGACGTCACACGGCGCGGGCCGGCGCGAGCGTGCGGCGCTGTGGCAGGGGTTTAGCAACTTTGGGTTGGCGCCGCTGCGCGTGTGGGTGTCGGGCTTTGAAATGCAGCGGGATTTAGTGAGTTTCCCGCTGTCCCCAGCGGTGCGGGTGAAGCTGGTGTCTGCAGGTTTCCAGACTGCTGAGGAACTCCTAGAGATGAAACCATCCGAGCTCAGCAAAGGTAATGACTCCTGATGGCAAGTTGAGGTACACGGACCCCCGTCTGTGCCGCCTCCATCTCGGTTCTTCCGCCTTCAGGCTTCAGCCCAGTGTCCGTCAGTTTCCTCCGCCCAACGCTGCGTTTGTAAAGTGAAACCGCTCCTTGACTCCAGTTAAACACGGTTTGAACGGTTAGAACTGTGGCCTTGAAAACATTTACTCATTATCTCATTTATTACTCAAGAAGAGCCCTTTTAACGTGGATTATTATGTACAATATGTTGATGAAGGAACAGATGCTTGAGAGGTTAAGTAATTTTTTATGATGACTGGGCTAGGATATCGTGGAGCCAGGATTGGTACCCAGACAGCTTATCTAGTTTTCGCTGTTCCAAAATCCAAGGGGCAGGGGATTACATTTGAGAAATGGAGGATTCGTGAAAGGATTTGAGACACTGAGCGAGAAAGGGAGCAGAATCCCCAGAACCTGGAGAAAGCAATACAAAGAAGACATTGCGTCTTTTATGTCATTCACTCGAAAACAAAACAAAACGCCCCCCCAAACCTCTTATTCCAGAACACTGTAAATGATACATTGGTGGGAACCACTGTGTCATGAGGTATACAAAAATGAAGCTGTATGCTGTCAGTCCCACTCCACGTGCTATATTATGGTGTGCTCAGAACTGTCCTCTTAAGATAGAAAAAAATTTTAAATCCTGGCCCTCAACAATGGAAAATAAGGAAGTTTCAACTTGTCATTCAAGAATAAATGTAGACCCAAGTTAACTTTTAAATTTAAGCTGCACATTGCCTCCCAAATTTTAATGGGCTCTTTCAATATATTGATTTTACAAAAAAGAAATGAGAGAATCTGCATGATAATAGCTAACAGTTATTGAGCATTTTGGATGGCTTCTGTATTCTATCAAACTTTTCAACATGTATTGTGTTATTCCCGTTTCACAAAAGAAAAAATCTGATGGGGCGCCTGGGTGGCTCAGTCAGTTGAGCGTCCGACTTCGGCTCAGGTCATGATCTTGCAGTTGGTGAGTTCGAGCCCCGCGTCGGGCTCTGTGCTGACAGCTCAGAGCCTGGAGCCTGCTTCAGATTCTGTGTCTCCTTCTCTCTCCGCCCCACCCCTGCTTGTGCTCTGTCTCTGTCTTTCAAAAATGAATAAACATAAAAAAAAAAAATTTAAGAGCGTTTTACAAAAGAAAAAATCTGAGGCAAAAAAAGTAACTTGCCCATACTAAGTAACTACATAGTAAGTGGTTCAGTCAGGGTTTACAAACCCAAGAAGGCTGACTCCAGAGTTTAGACTCTTTAGTTGGGCATGATTTTCATTTCCTTATCACCATTGTTGTCTTTTGTTAGCACCAAATTTACATTCATATCCTAACTAAATCAAGCACTGACATATCAAATTCATAAGTGATGTCACCTTCACCATTATTTCTTTTATTAGCAGCTTGTTTTTGTTTTTTTAATGTTTATTCCTTTAAAACATTTTTTTTAATGTTTATTTTTGATAGAGAGAGAGAGTGCAAGCAGGGGAGGGGCAGAGAGAAAGAGAGTGTGAGCAGGGGAGGGGCAGAGAGAGCTGTCAGTGCAGAGCCCGATGCGGGGCTTGAACTCATGAACCGTGAGACCATGACCTGTGCCAAAGTCGGAAGCTTAACTGCCTGAGCCACACAGGTGCCCCTGTTTATTCCTTTTTGAGAGAGAGACCATGAGCAAAGGAGCAGAGAGGAAGAGAGAGAGAGAAAAAGAGAAGGACAGAGGATCCAAAGCGGGCTCCACACTGACAGCAGTGAGCCTGATGTCGGGCTTGAACTCACAAGGCATGAGATCATGACGTCAGCTGAAATCTGGTGCTTAACTGACTGAGCCACCCGGATGCCCCAGCAGCTTCTTTTGTAATTGCCATTTCCTTAAGCCATATTGTCTGATAGGAATGAAATTGTGTAGATAAGGAAGCATAAGTGTATTGTTTAAAATATTTGTGCATTAAAATTATTCTCAGTAAATAATTTTGAAGTGATATATGAATTTTTCATGACAGTGTTTCCATAAAAATTTTTATTATGAATAATACATGCACATATACTTCTTTTTTTTTTCAAATTTTTTTTCTTTAATGTTTATTTATTCTTGAGACAGAGACAGAGCCTGAACAGGGGAGGGGCAGAGAGAGAGGGAGACAGAATCTGAAACAGGCTCCAGGCTCTGAGCTGTCAGCACAGAGCCTGACGTGGGGCTCGAACCCACGAACTGTGAGATCATGACTTGAGCCAAAGTCCCACGCCCAACCGACTGAGCCACCCAGGCACCCAATGCACATATATTTCTTAAAGTTAAATCTTGTTTTAGGGAGTTGGAGGCCATTTTGTTCTCTTCTGAAAATAATTTAGATACCTTATTAGAACAAGATAACTATGACTTCATGGGACCAAAAGGGACTGCGGGTACATTTTTATTTCTTTTTTATTTTTTTTTATTTATTTAAAAAAAAAAATTTTTTTTAATGTTTATTTATTTTTGAGATAGGGAGAGACAGAGTATGAACGGGGGAGGGTCAGAGAGAGAGGGAGACAGAATCTGAAACAGGCTCCAGGCTCTGAGCTGTCAGCACAGAGCCCGATGCGGGGCTCGAACTCATGGACCGCGAGATCATGACCTGAGCTGAAGTCGGATGCTTAACCGACTGAGCCACCCAGGCACCCCTTATTTCTTTAAAAAAAATTTTTTTTTCTTAACATTTATTTATTTTTGAGACAGAGAGAGACAGAGCATGAATGGGGGAGGGGCAGAGAGAGAGGGAGACACAGAATCTGAAGCAGGCTCCAGGCTCTGAGCCATCAGCCCAGAGCCCGACGCGGGGCTCAAACTCAGGGACCGCGAGATCGTGACCCCGGCTGAAGTCGGACACTTAACCGACTGAGCCACCCAGGCGCCCCAATTTTTATTTCTACCTCTAGATACTCTTGTAAGTATTCAAATGCTTTAAAGGTTTAGGTTTCTGAATTCTATTTTTGAGGTAATAAGTAAATCATAAAGTATGTAAAGAGTAAAAAATACAGATACTTGCCTTTATTAACTTGAAAAATTCAATAGTGGAATGTTACGTTTTTATGTTTCTTTACTCTTGGCATCCCTCTTATTATGTAAAATTAGAATTAATGAAGACAATCCAATAACATGTTAGACTTTTAAATTTCTAAAATCAGGGTGTTTTGGTTTTTTTTTTCCTTATTTTACTTTCAGAAGTTGGGATATCTAAAGAGGAAGCATTAGAAACTCTGCAAATTATAAGAAGAGAATGTCTCACAAATAAACCAAGATATGCTGCTGTAGCTGAGTCAGGCAAGAAGTGTACAGCACTGGAACTTCTTGAGCAGGAGCATACCCAGAGCTTCATAATTACCTTCTGTTCAGCACTAGATAATATTCTTGGGGGTGGAATACCCTTAACCAAAACAACAGAAATTTGTGGAGTACCAGGTGTTGGAAAAACACAATTATGGTAAAGTTAAATGTTCCCCTCTTAAGGGTAGGCTTAATAACATTTTATGTAAGTAATAGAATATGGTGCTGTGGGTCTATATTCAGGAGACCAAAAATGACATGTATGTGCTCTTAATTGTGTGTGTGTGTGTGTGTGTGTGTGTGTGAATATGCATCAGACAAAAATCAATTTGCCATTTGTGTTACATCAGCACCCCATTTTGATAAATTGTTATGGATTATTTTGATATCCAAAAGCGTTTCTTTTGCAGCATTGTAATGTGTTCATTAGGGTAAATAGGCAGTCTTCTATTTTATTATATAATTAATTCCTGGGAGTATATTTGAAAGTCAAATATTTGAAACTACATTTATGTATAAGAAAGGGTTTCCTTCCCAGAGGCCTAAAAACCATGAAAAAATCCTTAGTCATGGTTTTATGAGTACACCCCCTGCCCCACTAATCCAGATAATAATTGATATACATATATTTGGAGCAGAGAGTTAGCCACATCTGTAGCCTAATGGTGGTACCTAATGGATGGTGATGTGGCATTGGAAACCATTGCCTTAGAGGATTATGATTATGATGATGATTATGATTTGGTCATTCAGCTTTCTCTTGACAGTATGCAGTTGGCAGTAGATGTGCAGATACCAGAATGTTTTGGAGGAGTGGAAGGTGAAGCAGTTTTTATTGATACTGAAGGAAGTTTTATGGTTGATAGAGTGGTAGACCTTGCTACTGCCTGCATTCAGCACCTTCACCTTATAGCAGAAGCACATATGGGAGAGGGTAAGTTAGCAAGTGATCCTCTTTCTTCTGTATAATAAAAGTAATTTGCAATTGTACCTTTCAGGCCTCAGCAAGAAACCATTTAGAATGAAGCTTAATGACTTGACAGTGTCCTAGTGTTCAACCTTCAGATCTCTTTTACAGAATTAGAAATGCCACAACCTAGACTGGCTTTTTCTTTTCCTTTTATGACCCTTGCTTCTGGGCCACATAACTTGTGTGTGTATTTCAGTGTATGATTTCAAATCATCATGCTCTGACCTGCCAGGTGTAAATTAATGTTGTTGGACATTTAATGTAAGTAAATGTTGTCCCAGTGCATTCAGTATATTCAATGCATTCAGTTTATATTGACTGCCATACTGGCTTTTTTAATAAACCAAAGGTAGCTTTGAAAAACCATATTGGAGGGCGCCTGGGTGGCGCAGTCGGTTAAGCGTCCGACTTCAGCCAGGTCACGATCTCGCGGTCCGTGAGTTCGAGCCCCGCGTCAGGCTCTGGGTTGATGGCTCAGAGCCTGGAGCCTGTTTCCGATTCTGTGTCTCCCTCTCTCTCTGCCCCTCCCCCGTTCATGCTCTGTCTCTCTCTGTCCCAAAAATAAATAAACGTTAAAAAAAAAAAAAGAAAGAAAAACCATGTTGGAAATGTTTGGAATATTAAGCTGATTGACTTTAGGGGGCTGTGAGTAGAATGTAATTGACTTCATGGCTGTTTAATTGTATCATTAAAGTGTTTGGGAAGTTTTTTTTAAGCTTGTGATGTAGAAAGAGTGTTTGATTTTTTAAAAAACATTTAAAGATGGGATACCTGGGTGGTTCAGTCGGTTAAGCATCTGACTTTTTAAAAATATTTATTTATTTATTTATTTATTTATTTATTTATTTATTTATTTAGAGGGAGAGAGAGAGAGATTGAGAGAGAGAGAAAGTGTGAGCAGGGGAGAGGCAGAGACAGAGACAGAATCCCAAGCAGGCTCCATCTCACCAACTGTGAGATCATGACCTGAGCTGAAATCAAGAGTTGGTCGCTTAACCAGCTGAGCCACCCAGGCACCCCTTAATTTGCAGTCATATGAAAAAAACAAAGAGAAATTCCGTTATGTTACTTCTATTCAGTGAAAGTAATAACTAGAAATACGAAAAGGCAGGCATTAAGACTGTAGTTGTATATGTGTATAAACAGTTTCTCAATAGCCTAGTATGTAAGGAAACAGTGGAGAAGGTGAAAATAAGAGGCCAGGAATTATGCAATGATAGTTTATAGTAATTTTGTTACAATTTTGTTATCTTTCAATTCAAGTGGAGAGTTTGTTATTCACGGTGAAGCATTTTGTTTTTCAAAGGTATTGTTTTCCTACTATCACCAATATATCAAAACAAATAAAACTAATTATTTTAAGATTGTTTTGTTTATTTTAGAGCACCCAAAAGCTTTGGAGGATTTCACTCTTGAAAATATTCTTTCCCATATTTACTATTTTCGTTGTCGTGACTACACAGAGCTATTGGCACAAGTTTATCTCCTCCCAGACTTCCTTTCTGAACACTCAAAGGTATGGCTCAAACTATTGAAATATAGTTAACCTTTGGAGTATCTTTGGAGGTGTTTGAGTAACATGAAAAATAAGTAAATAGTATAGTGGCATAAGCCCATTCAAAAATCTCTTCCTTGTTCTACAGTTTATTTGTATTTTCATATATTTAGCATATATATATTTTATGCCCAAAGTAAGAAATTGAAATAATATAGAAAGAGGTTCTGCCTCCAGTAATGGTGGAATAGTTTCTAACAAACTCTGTAGAAAGGTATAAAATGGAAAATAAAGCTACCCTTCTATTGTTTCCTAATACCTCTCCCTAAAGTTGACCACTATTGTTTTTTTGTGTCTTCCCCAAAAATTTTTTATGTATTTTGCAGTATTTTAATATTTGTTAATGGGATAAGACTAATATGGTTCTGCACCTTCCATTTTGGTTGAGAGTTTTGCCTGTCTTTCTATATCACCACATGTGGATAGACCTCATTCTTTTTGTAGCTACACATTATTTCATTTTAAGAAGGTGCTTTTTGCTCTTGGTGGGAACATAAAATGATACAGTTGCCTCAGAAAACAGTATGACAATTCCTCAAAAATTGAAAATAGAATTACCATATGACCCAGCAATTCCACTTCTGTGTATATAACCAAAAGGATTGAAAGCAGGGTCTTGAAGAGATACTTACACACCTGTGTCCATAGCAACAATATTAATATTACCTAAAACATGGTAGCAACCCAAGTGCCCATTGATGGATGAATAGATCAGCAAAATGTGGTATATGCATACAATCTAATTTTGACATATGCTACAACTTGGATGAATCTTGTGGACGTTATGTTGAAATGTTGATTTTGTTGGTGAAATAAGCCAGTCACACACAAAAAAAAGATATGCTGTATTCTACTTATATGTGGTGTCAAGAGTAGTCAAACTCATGGAGACATAAAGTAGAATGGTAGTTAATAGGGCCTAGGGGGAAGAGGAGAATGGGCAGTTATTGTTTAATGGGTATAGAGTTTCAGTTTTACAAGACGAATATTTGTATTTTACTATATAAAAAAAATTGGGGAAAAATTAAGTACCTTAATTTATTTAACCAATCCTATTATTGGTGATCTTTTAGATGCTATTATTAATAATTGTTTGAAGATAATCCTTATACATACCATCTTGGGATACATTTGTAAGTATGTTTATAGGATAAATTCTAAGTATTAGAATTACATTAAAGAGTATACGCATATTTAATTTTGATAAATATTACACATGAGAAAGATTCTCTTTGACCAAACTTTAGTCAGCCTCCTCTGAGCCTTCTTTTTCAATAGGCCTTGAACTTCATCCACATCTTGTCTTAGGCCTGACTAATCCAGTTCATTACTGTGAATAATCCTGCTGTGAATATAGGGGTACAATAATAAAGAATCCTGTAAATTAGACTCTCCTACCCTTCATACCTAATCAACCTTGGTATCTCAAGTTCCTCATTCCCCACTTTTGATGTATATGTCTTTGGTCTGCCTGTAGCAAGAATTGTGTTAGGTCACTTTAACAAGAATCCTACCCCTGATGTCTCCTCTTAGTAATTTTCCATTTTCTGACACTCACCCTGTTCTTGGCTATAAATCCCCACTTGTCCTTGTTGTATTTGGGTTTAAACCCAGTCTCTCTCTCCTGTTGCAAAACCCTATTGCTAAATTTTTCAAAAATTTTAAATGTTTATTTCGAGAGAGAGCACAAGTGGGGGAGGGACAGACAGGGGGAGAGAAAGAATCCTAAGTAGGCTCCACACTGCCAACTCAGAGCAGTGCTCGATCTCAAGACCATGAGATCATGACCTGAGCTGAAACCAAGAGTGAGATACTTAACTGATCGAGCCACCCAGGCGCCACCCTGTTGATATCTTCTTGAATAAATTCTTCATTACTGTTTTAACAAGCGTCAGAATAACTTTTTTAGTTAAAAAAAATTTTTTTTTATTCTTAAGAAGACTCCACACCCAGCATGGAGCCTAACGTGGGGCTTGAATCAAGACCTGAGCTGAGATCAAGTCCGACATTTTATTTTCTGGTGCCCCAGAATATATATATATATATATATATATATATATTTTTTTTTTTTTTTTTACACAAATTGCCCTTTAAAAAGGTTGTACCAGTGGATCAAAAAAACAAGACTGAACTATATGTTGACTACGAGAAGCCCACTTTAGGATTGCCTTGCTGGCTCGGTCACTGGAGCTTGTGACTTTTGATCTTGGGGTTGTGCGTTTGAGCCCCATGTTGGGTGTAGAGATTACTTAAAAAAAATAAAATCTTAAAAAAAACATTTTAGATATAAAGATACTTGTAGATTAAAAGTAAATGATCAGAGAAAGATCTATCATGCCAACACTAATCAAAAGAAAGCAAGAGTAGCTGTATTTATTTTAGAGAACAGACGTCAAACCAAGGAAAGTTATCAGGGATACAGAGGGATATTACATGATGATAAAACGGTCAGTTCCCCAGAAAGACATAACAGTTTCTAATATGTATGTGTCTGACAACAGAACATCAAACTACATGAGGCAAAAACTGATAGAAGTGCAAGGAGAAATAGATGACTTCACTATTACATTTGGAGACTTCAGCACCTCCTAGAAATGGACGGAAAACCAGTAAAGACATAGATGAACTCAATAACACCATCAGTCAATTGAATATAGTGGATATCCGTAGGCTATTTCAACAACAGCAGAATACATGTTCTTCTCAGTTCATGTGGAACTTTCACCAAAATAGACATTTTCATAATCTATTAGATTTCCTGCCTATTCTTCTAAGGGCCCGTTTATCTTTCCTGTAAATATCCTTTCTCCATTCTGTGAATTTTCTTTTCACTTTCTTGATAGTGCCTTTTTTTTTTTTTAAGTTTATTTTTATTTTTTTGAGGGAGAGAGACAGCAGGGGCGGGGGGTGGCAGAGAGAGAGAGGGAGAGAGAGAATCCCAAGCAGACTCCACACTGTCAGCACGGAGCCTGACACAGGGCTCAGTCCTGCGTACCTTGAGATTGTGACCAGAGAGAAATCAAGAGTCGGACACTCAACTGACTGAGCCACCCGGGTGTCCCTTGATAGTGCTCTTTGATACACAAAAGTGTTAAATTTTGGTGAAGTCCAATTATTTATTAGTTGTTGTTAGGTTTTTGGTGTCATGTATAAGAATCTATTGCCAAATCGATGATCATGAAAATTTACTTCTCTAAGTAGGGGAGGAAGAAGTTTTCTTCAACCCTCTGAAAGTCCATGGATGGATCTGAAAAAAACGACAAAGGCAGCATAACAGGAGAAAAGCACACAAATTTTACTGAATTTTTATGTGTACATGGCAGCCTTCTACAAGACAACCCAAAGAAATGACCAGAACAAGAAACTTTTATACCTTTTAGGCAAAAACATGTAAATATGTGAAGAATTGATGAAGGGATTTGGGCTAGAGGTGGTAATTTGTGAAGAAATAATTTTGAAAATAAGAATTAGTTTAACAGGGGCACCTGGGTGGTTCAGTCTGTTGAGCATCTGACTTTAGCTCAGGTCATGATCTCAAGGTTCATGAGTTTGAGTCCCACATCAGGCTCACTGTTGTCAGTGCAGAGCCCCCTTCAGATCCTCTGTTCCCCCCACACACCCTTCCCCCACTCATGTTCTCTCTCTCTCTCTCTCTCTCTCTCTCAGAAATGAAATAAACATTAAAAAAATTAGTTTAACAAGGTTTGTTTATATGCCTTCTCAGCCCTAAATACCCTGTCTCTGGTGATAAGGGCATCTCCTTTTCTTCTGATACCTTTCATACAGGAGATTTATCTCCTTTCAGGGAAGAAGGGAGAGAGTAGGAGGTCAAAGTGACCTCCCTGCTTCTGTTTGACCTTCCTGCTTCTGCTTCCTACTTCTGTTTTCTCAAACTTCAACTTAAGGTATTCAGTATGCCAAGGTGCCAAATTTGGGGGTAGCATGCCTGAAATACAGGTTGATCTATAAATATACATCAGACCAGTTAATGCCATGCAACACGTAATAGAAGATACGAAAAGGGGAAATAGGGGCCCCTGGCTGGCTCAGTTGGTGGAGCATGTGACTTTTAACCTTGGGGTCATGAGTTTGAGCCCCATGTTGGATGTAGAGATTACTTATTTAGTTTTCATTTTTATTTATTTAGAGAGAGCGAGCACACACGCAAGCGGTAGAGAAGCAAGAGAGAGAGGGAGAGCAAGAATCTCAAGCAGGCTCTGCACTGTCAGCACAGAGTCCAATGCAGGGCTCCACCTGGCAAATGTGAGATCATGACCTGAGCTGAAATCAAGAGTTGGATGCTTAACTGACTGAGCCACCCAGGTGCCCGTAGAGATTACTTAAAAAAAAAAAAAAAAAGAGTGTGTTGTTTAATTTCCACATATCTGTGAATTTTCCAAATTTCTTTCTGATGTTGGTTTCTTTTTTTTTTTAATTGTTTTTTAATGTTTATTTATTTTTGAGAGAGAGGGAGACAGAGCATGAGTGGGGGAGAGGCAGACACACACACACACACACACACACACACACACACACACACACACACACACACAGACTCAGAAGCAGGCTCCAGGCTCTGAGCTGTCAGCACAGAGCCCGATGTGGGGCTTGAACCCAATGAGCTGTGAGATCATGACTTGAGCCGAAGTCAGGCACTAGTTGACTGAGCCACCCAGGCACCCCTGATGCTGGTTTCTAATTCCATTCCATTCTGGTTAGAGAAGGTAACTTTATGTGATTCCATTTTTCTATATTTATTGAGACTTATTTTGTGACCCAACATCCAGGTCTATCCAGGAGAATGTTCCATGTGCATTTTAGAAGAATGTGTATTCATTCTGCTGTTTGAATGGAACGTTTTATATATATTTATATGTTCATTTTAGTTGGCTTCTAGTGTTAGGGTTTTTCTTTCCTTGTTTATCTTTTGTCCAGTTCTCTCCATCACTGAATGTAGGGTGTTGAAATCTCCAATTGTTATTGTAGAATTGTCTCATTTCTTTCTTTAGTTTTGTCAGTTTTTGCTTTAGATATTTTAAGGTTCTGTTGTTAGCCCTTTTGTGTATATGTATTGATGATTGTTTCTTTCTTTAAAAAAGTAGGTCAGTTTTTCTTTATTGGTAAGCAGGCAGGTGGTAGGCAAGTCAGGATGCTGGGGAGCAGCTGAGGAGAGGGTTCTGCAGTTGCCATCACAGTATATAATTGCTATATCTTCTTGATGAATTGACTCTTTTATTATTATATAATTATTTTATGTAAATTATTATTTATCATTATACTTCTTTGTCTCTTGTAACAAGTTTTCTCTTAAAGTCTCTTCTGTCTGATATTAGTATAGCTGCTACGGCTCTCTTTTGGTTACTGTTTGCAGGCAATATCTTTTTCTATCCTTCCACTTTTAACTTATATGTATTTTTGAATCTAAAGTGAGTCTTTTGTAGAAAGTCTGTAGTTAGATCATTTTTTTAAAAATCCATCTGCCAATCTGTGCCTAAGTCTCTGACTTAGGGTGGTTCAACTTAAAATTTTTTTTCTTTTACAATGGTACAGAAGTGGTACACATTCAGTAAAAACTACCTCAAATTTTGATCTTTTCTGAGCTGGTGATACTTGGTCCAATACCCTCTTGTGTTGCTGGATAGTGGCAGTGAGCCACAGTTTTCAGTCAGCATGCAATCACAAGGGTAAACAACCAATACGCTTACAACCATTCTATACCCATATTACCATTCTGTTTTTCAATTTCAATATAGTATTCAGTAAATTATGAGATATTCAGTGCTTTACTGTAAAATAAGCTTTGTGTTAGATAATTTTGGCCAACTGTAGGCTAATATAAGTGTTCTGAGCACATTTAAGGTAGGCTAGACTAAGCTATGATGTTCAGCAAGTTAAGTGTATTAAATGCATTTTTGGCTTAACAGTATTTTCAACTTGGTATAGGTTTATTGGGATGTAACCCCATTGTGAGTTGAGGAACATTTCTATTTTATTTCTCAAATTCTCCATTACTGTCTTCTTTTTTGTTAGATATTTTCCAGTGTACCATGTTAATTCCCTTCTCATTTTTTTATCATGTATTTTTTAGTTATTTTCTTAGTTGCTCTGGGGATTATAATTAACATCCTAATTCATAGCAGTCTAGTTTAAATTAATGCCAGATTAGTTGCAACAGTATATAAAAATCTTGCTGCTGTATAGCTCCATTTACCCCCCCTTTATGTTGTCATTGTCACAAATTGCTTCTTTATACATTGTGTACCCGTCAACATAGAGTTATAATTATTTTTTTATATTATTTCTATATGGATTTGAGTTTCTGTCTGGTGTTCTTTCATTTTCAGCCAGAAGGACTCTGTATAGTATTTCTTGTAGAATAGATCTAGCAATGAATTCTGTTTATCTGGGAATATCTTAATTTCTGCTTCATTTTTGAAGAATACTTTCGCCAAATTCACAGTTCTTGGTTGGCAGTATTTTTTCTTTCAGCAATTTGTATATGTTATCCTATCACTTTCTGGCCTTTGAGAACCAATGAATGAATGAGTAAATGAATAAATACACACAAACATACGTGTGTGTGTGTGTGTGTGTGTGTGTGTGTGTGTGTGTGTGTGTGTAAAATCTCATTTTTACCTCTCCATTGGTATGCTGGTAAATGTTTAGTGACTGGCTTTCCAGGAAAGAAAATGTATGCACATATATGCATACATGTTTATTATAAAGTTGCTGATATAAAGGATGTATAGTACACCATTTATAAATAATAATAAAATGTAGAATACTCTTTTTTTTTTTTTTTTTTCAGTTTTACTTATTTAAGTAATCTCTACACCCAGTGGGGGGCTCAAACTCATAATCTGGAGATCAGGAGTTGCATGCTCTTCCAACTCAGCCAGGCAGGTTCCCCCAAATGGTACTCTTTATTGTAAATCTGTAGCCAACTAAGTCTTACAGAAAGCTTTCATTGATTTGATTTTTTTATGGAGATTAATTTCACATAATAAAATTCACCATTTAAAAGTGAACAATTCAGGGGCACATGGGTGGCTCAGTTGGTTGAGCATCCAACTCTTGATTTTGGCTTCAGGTCATGATCCCAGAGTTGTGTGATCGAACCTCGCATTGGGCTCCATGCTGAGCATGGAGCCTGCTTGGGATTTTTTTCTCTCTCCTTCTGCCTCTCTCCCCTGCTCTTTCTCTCTTTCTAAAAATAAATAAATAAATAAAAATAATAAAAGTGAACAATTCAGTGCAGTTAGGACATTCACAATGTTGTCAACCACTACTTGTATCTAGTTCCAAAACATTTTTACTACCCTAAAAGGAAACTCATTAAAGAGTTGCTCCCTTTCCTCTCCCCCTGCAAAGACCCTGGCAACCACCAATCTGTGTTCTGTCTCTATCGATTTACCTATTTTGGATATTGCATATAAAATGGAATCATATGATACATGATCTTTTTGGTCTGGCTTTTTCACTTAGCATAATAGGTTCAAAGTTCATTTGCTTTGTAGCATGTATCTGTACTTCATTCCTTTTCATGGTGGAGTAATATTCTGTTGTATGTATACACCACAATCTGTTTATCCTTTTATCTGTTGGTGGACATTTGGGCAGTTTCTACCTTTTGATTATTGTAAATTGTGCTGCTATGAACATGTATATCCATACTTTTTTTTTTTTTTTTGGTACCAGTTTTCAGTTTTTTGGGGCATATACCTAAAAATGAAATTGCTGGGTCATGTGGTAATACTGTGTTTAATTTTTTTTAATTTTTTTTTTTTAACGTTTATTTTTGAGACAGAGAGAGACAGAGCATGAACGGGGAAGGGGCAGAGAGAGGGAGACACAGAATCCGAAACAGGCTTCAGGCTCTTAGCTGTCAGCACAGAGCCCCACGCGGGGCTCAAACTCACAGACCGCGAGATCATGACCTGAGCCGAAGTCGGCCGCCCAACCGACTGAGCCACCCAGGCGCCCCTGTGTTTAATTTTTTGAGGAACCACCGAACTGTTTCTTCATAGTTGCTGAACCATTTTACATTCTTACCACCAACATATGAGGTTTTTCGTTATTTTAATTTTGCTAAACTTATGTATCCTTATCTAACCTATGGAATTGTTTGGCAAAATCACACTACCAATTAGCATTTGATTGCTATCCAGTTCAAAAGAAGTTGCTAACCTCATGGTGAACAAGTACTATTTTAACATGAATGCTGATTGATATTTTTGCTTATGTTAACAAGTGTGATGAAAATGAAACAACAAAGGCATATTTTTTAAATTGAAGTATAATTAATGTAAAATATCCTGTTAGTTACAGGTGTACATTATAGTATTTTGGTATTTTTACACATTATGAAATAAGTCCCACAATATGTCTAGTTACCATCTGTCACCATACACAAAGGTATGTGTGTATGTCTTTATATGTGGGCTGTCTTTCCCTCCTGGAGGTTCTTATCCAGGACTCAGTTCTGTTGCCTCCTGTTTCATTGATGCCTTCTCTCACATCTGGTCTGAGTTAACTTCCCTCTACTTTATCACCTACTTATTCATCATCATTTCACCCAGTGTAGTTTCTTCATAACTCCTAGTATTATCAGAAATTATTCATGTATTTGCTTGCATGTTAATTGTCCTTTACTCCACTAGACCATAAACTCCAAGAGAACAGGGACCTTGTCTCTTGTTCCCCACTGCCTGGAACAGTGACTAACATATAGTAGGTATCAATAAATATTTGCTGAATGAAAGAATGAATACTCTAAATAAAAGATAAAAATGGCTTCCTTACACATGGCTTTATCAAATTCTCTTCTTTAGTGTAATCCTTATTAGATAGAAAAATATATAATCTTACAGGTTTTTAAAACTTGTTTATATTTGGATTAGTTCGCAAATTCTGTTTGTTCTTGGATTTTAGATCTTGGACTATATTGTAACTGTCATGATGAAAATATTTATCATCTATAAGTGAACCTTCTTGATTAGAACTTCAACACAAACCTGTCTCATGCTGAATTCTATATTATAACAGATTCTGTAATGATTAATTGCCTTATAGTATATTTAAAATTAAGGGGAGAAAGTATGCTAAGAATTAGGTTTTGAAGAAGGTATAATAATTTAATATTTGATTATTTTTTTAACCAAAAAATCTTGAAGGTAAAATGACATTGAATCGAAGAATTTGTTTTACTAAGACTTTAGAAGTGCTTTTTATCAGTGTAAAATGCCTCTGTAACGATTGTGTTATAGTGGCAAAGTATAAGAAAATTGTTTCTTTTTCTTTTGTTGAATTACCTTTTTAAATTGATAAATTATCTTTTGTTTTTAAAGTTTATTTATTTTTGAAAGAGAGAGAGCATGCACATGAGAGCATGAGCATGGGGTAGGGGCAGTGAGACCCAGGACTCTGAACTCAATCTTAAGCAGCCTCCACGCTCAGTGTGGGGCTCAGACTTGCAAACCATGAGATTATGACCTGAGCTAAAATCCAGTTGGATACTTAACTGACTGAGCTGCCCAGGTGCCCCAAGTTGATAAATTATCATACCAGAGTACATTTTAACTTTCAATGATTAATGCAGAAAGCATTGGGTGAATAGATTTATAACTCTCCAAAATAAAGCTTTTGGAGAGTTAAAAATAGAAATAGAAGAATTTTTTTCCTGTAATGAACTATGCTTTTTGGATGTCATTTTTAAAATTTTAACACCAAACCTAATATCCTTATCTCTTCCACATTTAGGTTCGATTAGTGATAGTGGATGGTATTGCTTTTCCTTTTCGTCATGACCTAGATGACCTCTCCCTTCGTAGTCGATTACTAAATGGTCTAGCCCAGCAAATGATCAGCCTTGCAAATAACCACAGATTAGCTGTAAGTATTATTAATCAAGACAACTTTATAATGAAGTCAAGATTGTATAACATAGTAATGTCTAGAAATAGCAAAATAGAATTTGACTAAAAGCAAATAATACAGACACAGTTTTGAATGTAGTTTTGGTTTGATTTCTGGAAAAAATTAATTCTAGACATAAATGTTTCTATCAGTTTTCCTAGAGAATAATAAGCATAATCAAGATGCTGTATTTTATTTTTATTTATTTATTATTTATTTATTTATTTTTGTTTTATTTTTTAAATTTACATCCAAGTTAGTTAGCATATAGTGCTATGATGATTTCAGGAATAGATCCCTTAATGCCCCTTACCCATTTAGCCCACCCACCCCCCCACAATCCCTCCAGTAACCCTCTGTTTGTTCTCCATATTTAAGAGTCTCTTATGGTTTTGTCCCCCTCCCTGTTTTTATATTATTTTTGCTTCCCTTCCCTTATGTTCATCTGTTTTGTCTCTTAAAGTCCTTATATGAGTGAAGTCATATATTTGTCTTTCTCTAACTAATTTCACTTAACATAATACCCTCCAGTTCCATCCCCGTAGTTGCAAATGGCAAGCTTTCATTCTTTTTGTTTGCCGAGTAATACTCCATTGTATATATATACCACATCTTCTTTATCCATTCATCCATCGATGGACATTTGGTCTCTTTCCATACTTTGGCTATTGTCGATGGTGCTGCTATAAACATGGGGGTGCATGTGTCCCTTCAAAACACCACACCTGTATCCCATGGATAAATGCCTAGTAGTGCAATTGCTGGGTCCATAGGGTAGTTCTATTTTTAGTTTTTTGAGGAACCTCCATACTGTTTTCCAGAGTGGCTGCACCAGCTTGCATTGCTACCAACAATGCAAAAGAGATCCTCTTTCTCCACATCCTTGCCAACATCTGTTGTTGCCTGAGTGGTTAATGTTAGCCATTCTGACAGGTGTGAGGTGGTATCTCATTGTGGTTTTGATTTGTGTTCCCCTGATGATGAGTGATGTGGAGCATTTTTTCATGTGTCGGTTGGCCATCTGGATGTCATCTTTGGAGAAGTGTGTATTCATGTCTTTTGCCCATTTCTTCATTGGATTATTTGTTTTTTGGGTGTTGAGTTTGATAAGTTCTTTCTAGATTTTGGATACTAACCCTTTATCTGATATATCATTTGCAAATATCTTCTCCCATTCCATCGATTGCCTTTTAGTTTTGCTGATTGTTTCCTTCACTGTGCAGAAGCTTTTTATTTTGATGAGGTCCCAAGAGTTCATTTTTGCTTTTGTGTCCCTTGCCTCCAGAGACGTGTTGAGTAAAGTTGCTGCAGCTGAGGTCAAAAGGTTTTTGCCTGCCTTCTCCTCTAGGATTTTGATGGCTTCCTATCTTACATTTAGATCTTTCACCCATTTTCAGTTTATTTTTGCATATGGTGTAAGAAAGTGTTCCAGGTTCATTTTTCTGCATGTTGCTGTCCAGTTTTCCCAGCACCGCTTGCTGAAGAGACTATCTTTATTCCATTGGATATTCTTTCCTGCTTTGTCAAAGATTAGTTGACCATACGTTTGTGGGTCACTTTCTGGGTTCTCTATTCTGTTCCATTGATCTGAGTGCCTGTTTTTGTGCCAGTACCATACTGTCTTGAAGATGCCATGTTTTAAAATGGACTTGTTTGATAAAGAAATACTACCTTTGGTAATTGCAATGTTGGGTTTTTCTTGTCTAAATATACCTGATTTTTTGGGAGGCAGCTGAGTGGCTGAGTCAGTTGAATGTCCAACTTCAGTTCAGGTCAGAATCTCATGTTTCATGAGTTCGAGCCCTGCATCAGGCTTGCTGCTGTCAGTGCAGAGCCCTCTTTGAATCCTCTGTTCCCCCCCTCCCCCCCATCTTCTCTCTCTCTCTCAAAAAAATAAACATATAAAAAAATGTTTTTTTGAGAGACAGAGCATGAGTGGGGGAGGGGCTGAGAGAGGGAAACACAGAATCTGAAGCAGGCTCCAGGCTCCGGGCTGTCAGCACAGAGCCTGACGTGGGGCTTGAGCTCACAAACTGTGAGATCATGACCTGAGCCCGTTGGACATTTAACTGACCAAGCCACCCAGGCACCCCTAAAAAAAATATTTTTAAATAAATATGCTTGATGTTTTTCAGGTAAGCTCTTTTAACATCCCCAGTTTTCTTTTACTCTGGGCCTTTATTAGTACGTGTTGTATAATCACAGACCCAGACCAATAGAAAATTTACGTAGTGTGAATAACCTGGATGATTGGAGATGGAGCTAACTCTTCTAGATTTCAAATATGAGGTTAGACAAACATAAGTTCAGAAGTGAAGACATAAAAAGGAGTGAGGTAACAATCTTTTTTTTTTTTTTTTTGACTATTTGCCATCACTTTCCACTTCTGCAACCCCATGCCACTTTCTCACAGAAATACACACACTTGTCCAGGAGGGAGATGGGAAAAGAGTAAACTGCTTAATTTTTTTGTACTTACCCTAATTAGAGAGTCTTTAGCACATATCCATGATACAAGTAGATAAAGAACTCCTTGATGAAATCATTTCAAAACATCTTTTTTTTTTGGAGTTTTTATTTATTTTTTTTTGCCATATACCAAAAAGCATAGTGTCCTGTGTTTGAATTATTGTCATTAATTTGTAATTTAGCATTCTGTTAATATCAGTGAAGAGCGCGCAGTAGGGGGCACTCAAGACTATTGGGTTGCATAGTTCCTTAGGGTTTTTTATTTTTGTTTTTTTAACAGAAATATTTTTGATTTTCTGACTAAATAACTAATCTAAACAGTGGAATACTATGCAGTGCTTAAGAAGAGTAATGTAAATATATAATGTAATGTAGTAGAGTAATGTAAATGTAGACATACTAGCACAGAACAAGATATATCCAGATACATGATTAAGTGAAAACATTCAAGTCACGTTATAATATATTTTATGTGATCCCACTTTTGAGAAAAATAAAAATTATATATGTGCATTTATATTTACATGGACAAAAAGATCTGAAAGGATCAAAATGGTCATAATGACTACTTCTAGAAGTAGGATTTTGTAGGGTTGAGGACATACTTTCCCCTCTTACTTTATAAATTCTTCTTTGCTTGATTTTTATTTTTTTTTATTTTTATTTTTATTTTTTTAATTTTTTTTTCAACGTTTTTATTTATTTTTGGGACAGAGAGAGACAGAGCATGAACGGGGGAGGGGCAGAGAGAGAGGGAGACACAGAATCGGAAACAGGCTCCAGGCTCTGAGCCATCTGCCCAGAGCCCGACGCGGGGCTGGAACTCACGGACCGCAAGATCGTGACCTGGCTGAAGTCGGACGCTTAACCGACTGCGCCACCCAGGCGCCCCTTGATTTTTAATTTCCAAGTTTCTATGTATAGAATCATGTGTGACCTTTGACAATAAATACATTTCACTGGGCGCCTGGGTGGCTCAGGTGGTTGAGTGACTTCGGCTCAGGTCATGATCTCAAGGTTCATGGGTTTGAGCCCCAGTCGGGCTTTGTGCTGATGGTACAGAGCCTGCTTCAGATTCTCCATGTCCCTTTCTCCCTGCCCCTTCCTCACTTTCCAAGGAGTACGCTTTCTTTCTCTCTCTCAAAAATAAACATCACAAAAAAATTTAAGGGGCACCTGGGTGGCTTAGTTGGTTGACCGTCCGACTTCAGCCCAGGTCATGATCTTGCAGTTCATGTGTTTGAAAATCATCATCTTGCAGTTGGTGAGTTTGAGCCCCACATTAGCGCAGAGCCCACCTCGGATCCTCTGTCTCTCTTTCTGCCCCTCTCTTTCCTTGTGTGTGCTTGCTCTCTCTCTCTCTCTCTCTCTCAAAAACATTAAAAAAAATTTTTTTTTTTTAATTTTTTTTTTTTTTCAACGTTTATCCATCTTTGGGACAGAGAGAGACAGAGCATGAACGGGGGAGGGGCAGAGAGAGAGGGAGACACAGAATCGGAAACAGGCTCCAGGCTCTGAGCCATCAGCCCAGAGCCTGACGCGGGGCTCGAACTCACGGACCGTGAGATCGTGACCTGGCTGAAGTTGGACGCTCAACCGACTGCGCCACCCAGGCGCCCCTAAAAAAATTTTTTAAAATATATTTCACAATTTTTTTAAAGTTTATTTTTATTTTTGAGAGCGAGAGAGCAAGAGCATGAGCAGGGGAAGGGCAGAGAGAGAGGGAATACCAAGCAGGCTGTGCACTGTCAGCATGGAGCCTGACGCAGGCCTCAAACTGACAAACCACAAGATCATGACCTGAGCCAAGATCAAGAGTCAAATGCGTAACTGATTGAGCCCCCCAGGCACCCCTACATTTCACAATTTTAAGTTATATATGTTTTCTATAAAAAGTTTTAAGCTTTCTAAGTAGAAAGTAAGTAAATTATCTATTACCCAGAGATGATTATTGTTGAGTTTGGTATACATATTTTTCCAAACTTACCCTTTCTCTATATATGTATATGGACATATTTTTTTTATTTTAAGGTTTTTTAAAATTTAGTTTTTAATGTTTGTTTATTTTTGAGAGAGAGACAGAGCATGAGTGAGGGAGGAGCAGAGAGAGAGGGAGACACAGAATCTGAAACAGGCTCCAGGCTCTGAGCTGTCAGCACAGATTCCTACATGGGGCTTGAACTCATGAACAGTGAGATCATGACCTGAGCTATAATTGGCCACTTAACCTATTGAGCCACCCATGCGCCCCTAAGATTTTGTTTAAAAGTGGGGCTCATGGGGCGCCCGGGTGGCGCAGTCGGTTAAGCGTCCGACTTCAGCCAGGTCACGATCTTGCGGTCCGTGAGTTCGAGCCCCGCGTCAGGCTCTGGACTGATGGCTCAGAGCCTGGAGCCTGTTTCCGATTCTCTGTCTCCCTCTCTCTCTGCCCCTCCCCCGTTCATGCTCTGTCTCTCCCTGTCCCAAAAATAAATAAACGTTGAAAAAAAAAATTTAAAAAAAAAAAATAAAAGTGGGGCTCAGACTCACAACCCCTGTATCAAGAGTTGCATGCTCTATGGAAAGAGCCTAAATGTCCATCAACTGATGAATGGATAAAGAAATTGTGATTTATATACACAATGGAGTACTACAGGGCAATGAGAAAGGACGAAATATGGCCCTTTGTAGCAACGTGGATGGAACTGGAGAGTGTGATGCTAAGTGAAATAAGCCATACAGAGAAAGACAGATACCATATGTTTTCACTCTTATGTGGATCCTGAGAAACTTAACAGGAACCCATGGGGGAGGGGAAGGAAAAAAAAAAAAAGAGGTTAGAGTGGGAGAGAGCCAAAGCATAAGAGACTGTTGAGAACTGAGAGCAAACTGAGGGTTGATGGGGGGTGGGAGGGAGGAGAGGGTGGGTGATGGGTATTGAGGAGGGCACCTTTTGGGATGAGCACTGGGTGTTGTATGGAAACCATTCTGACAATAAATTTCATATATTGAGAAAAAAAAAAGAAAAAAAAAGAGTTGCATGCTCTACCAACTGAGCCAACCAAACACCTTTATATAGACGTTTGGTTTGTTTTTTTTTAACTTTCACTATTTTTTTTTAAGTTTATTTATTTATTTTGAGAGAGAGAGAAAGAGAGAGCCCACGTGTGCAAACAGGAGAGGGACAAATAAAGAGGGAGAGAGAAAATCCCAAGCAGGCTCCAGGCCCAGCACAGAGCCCAATGTGGGGCTCAGTCTCAATGACCATGAGATCATGAGTTGAACTGAAATCAAGAGTCAGACACTGAAGGGACTGAGCCACCCAGGTGCCCCAAAAAAGTAACTTTTCTTAGGCTTTTCTGATACCTTAGGACAGATTAATTTGGTGCACGAAGTAAATCAAGATAAAGCACAGATGCTTACAGACACAGTTCAAAGCTATGTCAGCTTGATGCTAAGATGCTGAGTATTGTTCCTAGGGGAAGGAGCTTGGTGATGCTGCTCTCCCTGTCTGGGTGCTCTCTGCCTCTATAATGGTTCACTGCAAAACAAATGCTGAATGCTGTATTTGTTTTTTGCTTTTTTTTTTTCCATAAAAGTGCGAATCCTCTTTGGATTTATTTTGGTTAGCAAAAACAGGTACTAATATAGGTCTTTCATAAAAGTGAAATGGCATAACAGGAACTTTTGAAAATCAGGAGATACCTGTACTCTGTAAACCAGTGCTGTCTGATAGTACTTTTCTGCGAAGATGAAAATGCTCGGTGTAATATAGCAGTTGCATAGCTATTGAGCACTTGAAAAATGGTTAGTGCTACTAAGGAACTGAATGTCTAATTTTAATTTAATTTTTTAAAGAGTGTTTTTAAAAAAAATGTTTATTATTTTTCAGAGAGAGCACGAGCAGGGGAAGGGGAGAGACAGAGAGGGAGACAGAGAATCCCGACAGGCTCTGAGCTATCAACCATAGAGCCTGGTGTGGGGCTTGAACCCAGAAACTGTGAGATCATGATCTGAGCCGAAATCAAGAGTCAGATGCTTAACTGACTGAGCCATCCAGGGGTCCCAGATTTTAATTTAATTTTTAAAAGCTCTATGTGTAGCTAATGGCTGCAGAATTGGACGGTGCACCTCTAACCAAAAAGTGGTGGTATAAATAAATATCCCAGTTACTAGAGTTTAAACACTTGGTAGTCTGTAAAGGGTATTATTCAGCATGTTGGGGATGCCAGTTAATCCTATATTTCAGGTAATTATCAGTTTACATTCCGCTTAGCTTGTTCTAAGATGCATGGCATGAGGTAGTACATGGGGAAGCCATTGTGGCACTAAAAGGAAGAGGAGCTAGAAGAAAATGTGTCGTCCAGTTGGCGGCTAATTGAAATCTAGATGGAGCACAGATTTCTCCTTTGTAGACAAATAAAAATACCACTGCAGTGGGAATAGCCAAACAGCCTTTTCTTTCTCCATTTTCTTATGGAACTGATGACTTTTTCAGAACAGGTACCTTTTTTCATTGCTTTTCATAGAAGTTCTTTATCAGTTTCAGCTTGCAATTGTATCTGTCATATTTCTGGTGGGAAGGTGTGTATTGGAAGAATATTTATTTATTTATTTATTTTTTCAACGTTTATTTATTTTTGGGACAGCGAGAGACAGAGCATGAACGGGGGAGGGGCAGAGAGAGAGGGAGACACAGAATCGGAAACAGGCTCCAGGCTCTGAGCCATCAGCCCAGAGCCTGACGCGGGGCTCGAACTCACGGACCGCGAGATCGTGACCTGGCTGAAGTCGGACGCTTAACCGACTGCGCCACCCAGGCGCCCCTGGAAGAATATTTAAAAGAACTCTTTCTGGAGAATTTGGGGCTGGGAAGTGCCAGATAATCTTTTACTGCATTAAGTCAGCTTTAAACACTCATTTTCTCTACTTTAAAATTACTGTCCTTCATTTTGAGGTAAGGGAAACAAAAACAAAAATAAATTATTGAAACTACATCAAAGTAAAAAACTTCTGCCCAGCAAAGGAAACCAATGAAACTAAAAGACAGCCTACTGAGTGGGAAAAGATACTTGTGAATGATATAACCAATAAGGAGTTATCCAAAATATATAAAGAATTTATACAACTCACTGCTTACAGGGCAGAATAAATGTCTTTTGGGTTAGGGCAGTATAAAGAAAATTAAAAAATTTATACAACTCAATACCAAAAAACACTGAATAATCCAGTTAAAAAATAGGCAGAAGACCTGAACACATATTTCTCCAAAGAAGACATACAAATTGCCAACAGACACATGAAAAGATGCTCAGCATCACCAATCATCACGGAAATGCAAATCAAAACCACAGTGAGATATCACCTCATACCTGTCAGAATGACTAAAATCAAAAACACAAGAAACAGCAAGTGTTGGTGAGGTTGTAAAGAGAAAGGAGTCCTCAAGCACTATTGGTGGGAATACAAATTGGTGTGGCCGCTATGAAAAACAGTATGGAGGTTCCTGAAAAATTAAAAGTAGAAGTAATGTGATCCAGTAATCACACTACTGGGTATTTACCCAAAGAATAAGAAAACACTAATTCAAAAGGATATATGCACCCCCATGTTTATTGCAGTATATTTACAATAGCCAAGATATGGAAGCAACCCAAGTATCTATCAACAGATGAATTGATAAGGAAGATGTGTGTGTGTGTGTGTGTGTGTGTGTGTGTGTGTGTATGTATATAATTGTTGAATGACTATATTGTACACCTGAAGCTAATATAATACTATGTTAACTATACTGGAATTAAAAAATAGAGGGGTGCCTGGGTGGCTCAGTCGGTTAAGTGACTTCAGCTCAGGTCATGATCTCACAGTTCATGAGTTTGAGCCTGGCATCAGGCTCTCCACTATTAGTACAGAGCCCGCTTTGTTTTGTTTTGTTTCTCTTAAAATGTTTTAATGTTTATTTACATTTGACAGAGAGAGCATGAGCAGGGGAGGGGCAGAGAGAGGGAGACACAGAATCTGAAGCAGGCTCTAGGCTCTGACCCATCAGCACAGAGCCCAATGCAGAGCTCAAATTCATAAACCGTAAGATCATGACCTGAGCGGAAGTTGAATGCTCAGCCGACTGAGCCACCTAGGTGCCCCAGTGCAGAGACCACTTTGAACCCCCATCTTTCCCTCTCTCTCTGCCCCTCCCCAGCTCATATTCTCTCTTTCTCAAAAATAAACATTAACAAAAATTTTTAATTAAATAAATAAATTTAATTTAAAATACCAAAAAGAATAAAATTGCTCTCCTTCAAACCATGGAATCTTTTCTGTAAGTCACTATTTAATCCAAAAGAATTAGTAATATTTTTAGCCTTGAGGGCCATCTTTGAATAAAGTAACACCTATATCTATTATCAGCAGACGAGTATAGTCATAATTTGGAGTCATTTGACCTGATTACTGGGTTTCATTTTTTCCCACTTCTTCTGTATTTTCTTTATGATTTTAGGTCTTTTCTCATAATTTTTGCTTCAGTTTTTTTTTTCCTATAAAACCAGAAATGGTAATAACTGTATTTGTCTCTTTCCTGAAGAGGAAACAGTGAGTATTTATTAAGTATGTCACACTCTTTTGATTAAATATATTCTAGAGAGGCAACAGTGGTTAAAAAAAAAAAAAAAGACTCAATCTTTGTAAGCTTCTGATTTCTCATGTGTTAAACTGGAATAATAATAATACTTCATTCATGTAGTAGTTGTGAAGGCTAAATAAGATAATGAAGGTAAAGCACTTAGCATAGCTTCTGATATTTATTAAGTACTCAATAAATGTTTATTACCACTACTGATATTGCTACTGTTGGTCTGGTGGATTCTATTGGCTTATCCAAAACTTAATTTTTAAAAGTGAGGTTTTTCCAATACTCCCATTTAGGAAGTTTTTATACATGGTCTCTTGAGACCTTTATGTATTATGTATTATCTATTTTTATTCTTCCATTTTCACAATTAGAACTTTGTTCTTGTCTGTTAAAAATGTTTATGTTCAATAGAACCTGTTTTCAGATAATTAGTCATTTTAATGGGTACATTTTTAAGAATTTATCAGAAAAGTTTTCATTACCTAAATATGTTTTTCTTTAAATTGTATTCAGAATAGTAAAGTCACAGGACTATTTGATAATTTGGGGGAGAGACTCACCTAATTTTCTCACCTTTTTTAGGTACTTTTAACTAATCAGATGACAACAAAAATTGATAGAAATCAGGCCTTGCTGGTTCCTGCATTGGGTGGGTAATTAATCAGATAAGAATTTTTAATTTTTTAAAGTTTATTTATTTTGGGGCGCCTGGGTGGCGCAGTCGGTTAAGCGTCCGACTTCAGCCAGGTCACGATCTCGCGGTCCGTGAGTTCGAGCCCCGCGTCAGGCTCTGGGCTGATGGCTCAGAGCCTGGAGCCTGTTTCCGATTCTGTGTCTCCCTCTCTCTCTGCCCCTCCCCCGTTCATGCTCTGTTTCTCTCTGTCCCAAAAATAAATAAACGTTGAAAAAAAAATAATAAAATAAAGTTTTTTTATTTATTTTGAGAGAGAAAGAGTGTGTGTGAGTAGGGGAGGGCCAGAGAGAGAATCCCAAGCAGGCTTCACTCAGTGCAGAGTCTGACATGGGGCTCAGTCTTAAGAACTGTGAGATCGTGACCTGAGCCAAAATCAAGAGTCAGATACTTAACCAACTAAACCACCCAGGCACCCCGCATTTTTAATTTAACACAGTTTTTTCTACCTCTTTCATTTGATGCTTGTTGAGTACTGTAGGTTCCATGAAAGCAGAGATTGTATCTGTCTTCCTCACTGACAAGTGAGCATGGAGCACAGTGTCCTTAGACACTGACTCATCCTTTCAGTTATTTAACAAACATTTATTGAGCATCTACTATTCGGCAACCATTGTGTCAGGTACTGAGCATATCAGTATTCATAAGATGACTCTTGCCCTCAGAAAGTCTTAGGCAGTAAGAAGGGTAAATCCATTTAAATACTGATCACACTACAGTGAATAGACTTATGATTTTTCCTAACCTCAGTCATGGTTTTGTTAGGACACAGTGTTTCGAGATTGTTTTGTACTAAATTCTTTAAGAATATTCTGTCCGAGTTTTTGCTTTTCTTCTGATAGCCGGAAATATGTTAGTAAGTGTGATAAGGAAGATTGACAAATATGTTGACTCAAACTATAAAGTTTTCTGAAAGCAAATAAAGGATAATGATCTGCAGTATTTCCATAGATAGGTAAAAATCTATTAATCTCAAGTTGCCACCCATATACAAGGGATTTTGAAAGTGTAAGTATATTCTTGTGTTAAATTAGGTAAAATAAAACTGTTTTGGTCAGAGGCATTCTGAAAGACTTCTAACCTTGTCAGTAAGGTAATATACAGTTGTTCTGTTCTTGTTCCCACTAGGGGAAAGCTGGGGACATGCTGCTACAATACGGCTAATCTTTCATTGGGACCAAAATCAAAGGTCAGTATAGAAACAAGTTAATAATTTTGAATATTGGGTTAATTACACGAACAGTTATGTTTTCTTAGATCTACTCCAGTGGATGAAATCTACAGTGCCCCCATGAACTAAAGCTTTTGTTGCCTTGTTCTCTATCACCTAGAGAAATCATAGAAACATATTGTTAAACTACACATTTAGCTAACATAGGAAATGCTTTGGAATATTTAAATGATGGGGTGCACCTGAAATGAGTAGGTGGCCAAGGAATGCTACCTTCTAAAGCTCTTTGAAACCAAGTACCATTTATTAGTCTTGCAGAAGGAGGTGGGTACTCTCTGTTCCTAGAAGGGATTGAAAGAAGAATAAAACCAGGACAAAAGCAAAACTTTGAGGTTAGCTTTAGGCCAATTTATGTGGAAAATAGGATGGTTTTTCTTAGTTGCTTAATATATTTTGGGTATGAAATTGTGTTTATTTTTGTTTTCTTTTGTATTTTGCTATCCTACTTTTGTTATCCAGTTACTTACCTGCCGTTCACAAGTATTGTTCTTTAAAATAAAACTATGGCAGCGTGAAACCTTTGTATTTGTTTTTAAAGCTGCTGAGCAAGTGAACAAACCAGCTTTCATTTTCTATAAAATAGGCAAATGAAAGCTGTGGAGTCTTTTATTATACACTTCTAGAAATGTCAGATTTATGCAGCTTCTCTGCTTTGAGATTAATTGGTATAACTGAGAGAACTTCGTTTGGAAGTGCTCTAATGAATGGGGGGAGAGTGAGACAGCAGGTGGGCAAAGATGAAAAAAAAGAGTTGCTTAAATATAAATCAGGTCTGGTCAGTGATATTGTCTAGTTCTTTATCTACATTTCTCTGTTCTCCAAACTGAAAAAAATCATGCCTGACCAAAATTAGGTTTTACTTAACTCTGAACTCATAGCAGAATTTATTACTTTTATATACATCTTTTGAAACTAATTCACATGGTTTGTGTCCCTTTTAAAAATGGCATTTCCAAAGAGCTCAGGTAACTCTCCTCCCCGCCTCATCCCCCATAATACATAGTGCTTTACAATTAACTTCCATCCCCCAGTTCTGTAAATAAGTCATTTTATTCTGGATCACAAAAGGAATTCTTTCCTTGGCAACAAACTCTATTGTAAACATTTGGCAACAGTTCTGCAGATGAGAATCTTATGAACATATTACTTGTATTTTCTCAGATTTAGGTGTTCTGTAAAGTACATCCCACTGTTAAATGTTTTTAGGAATTCCCATTTTAAATGGCCACTTTTATTCTACTATTAAATATTCACTAATAGAATACACCTAAAAAATAAAAATAATACAAGCAAAGCAAGATGTTTCAGTCTTTTTGTTTGGGGTCTTTTTGTTTTTTAAGATGCTCCATCTTTTTTTTTTTCTTTAATGTTTATTTATTTTTGAGAGAGAGAGCAGAGGAGGGACAAAAAGAGAGAGAGACACAGGATCCAAAGCAGGCTCCGGGCTCTGTAGCACAGAGCCCAACACGGGGCTCAAACTCACTGTGAGATAATGACCTGAGCTGAAGTCGGATGCTTAACTGGCTGAGACACCCAGGTGCCCCAAAGATGTTTCCTCTTTTAATGCACTCATTGGAAGGAGATGTTTGCCTTCTTTGTCAGATTGTAGAAGTTAGCATTGGTTAGGTACCCATGAGATCAGAAGATTATGCTTACTTTTTAGGAGTTAGCCATTTTATGACTTCCAGCTTCTTACTGATCCTTTCCAAGAAATTGGAGAATGGTGTAGAACACTTGACAATGAATTAGATGGATTTAGGGGAAATCTGTTCCATAAGTTTTTTCTATATCCCAGACTATTATTTTAGTGACTACTTGCTGATACTAGGTATTTAACTGGGCAGTTTTTGTATACAACATTTCCTTCAATAATCCCTTTGATAATTTTTTGAGGGATCTATACTTACATAGAAGTGAGAATACCAAGGCTGCCCAGAAAGATTAATTAAGTAGTAAATAATAGCTACCACTTATTGAATATTTATTAACTATCCTTTACTAAGCATTATGTGTTTGTATATATAATACTTCATTTTATTTTCCAAATAACTCTATGAAATAAGTAGTAGTATCCAAAGTTTATAGCTGACTCTATAATAGTCTCTTTTCCTATAATTGCTGTTTCTAGAATGTAATTATAGTATTGTGTTGATTGCCAGCAAATCTGAAAGTATAGCTCTTATCCTCCTTTTTAGATAAAATCCTTTTTCTCCCAACTGTTTTTTTCTCCCCAGCTAGATATATATGTAAGTAATTTGCATACTCTATTATGATCAGAATAAGTTGACCTCATTTAGTAGAATTAAAATAGTTTTGTTCTTCATTGTTTAAAACCAGTTATCTTTAAGTCATTAAAGTTGCATGAAGTCTTGTATGTGTTTTAACATTTAGTTTATCTTGAAAGGATGAAAATAGAAATTCACACTGGGGAAAAATAGTTATAAAAATGAACACTTCCAGTTAGAGTAGAAAACTAAAAACCTTGACTAGCCAAATTTATATTGAGAATTGAACTTAAGTGTCCTATTTTATGCTTCAGTCCCCATCTTTTAACCAGAAACCCCTTTTACCCTCTAACAATGAAATAACATTCCAACAGTTATTCAACTAAATACTTTTATCTCTGTCCTGTATATTGTGTGGGATTTCCTCCAAATTTCATATTCATGATAATATGAGGCTGAGATTTTTCAGAATTATATCACTTTTTGCCAGAAAGATCTGGTGGTAGAGTGGAGTAATACATCAACACCCCCACATAGTGTTTCATATGTGTGCTCAGCTTTAGAGCACAAATTGTGCTTCTGTCTTATTTCTTCCTGACCCAAACTGTGTAGTTCAGCCATATGTTAAGCTTCATCTTAGCTGGGGCCATGAGCCAAGTGATTCTTTGGTTTAGTTTGTTGTTTAAAAAGATCTCTTGAGATGCAGATATGAAATATAAAATTTTATTTTTACCTAGAAATTAGAGGAAAATTTTCACCCTGAATATTTAATGCCTACTTGACTTTAGGATTTTTAATAAACATGCAAATGCTTCTGAAAAGCTCATTTACTTTTTAATAATTTTCTCAGAAAATTTAGATGTATTGGGTATCTTTTTGGACATATTGTGATATGACGTGATTTAGATAATTTTTCAGAAGGTTAGCTAATTTTTATTGAATCAAAAAATGATTTTTTAACAAGACAGGTTAAAATACACCATACCTCTCTTTTTATATATATATATACACACACACACACACACACACACACACACACGTATGTATATATACATATATATACATGTATATGTACATGTATATATGTACATATATGTACACACACATATGTATATATATACATATACTTAAAAAAATAAAAATAAAAGTAAAAAGTATACTTATATATACTTTTATACTTATAAAGTAAAAAGTATATATACATATACTTAAAAAAATAAAAATAAAAGTAAAAAAAAATACATATATATACAGACACATATATGAACACACACATATGACAACTCAGAGCCTAGAGCCTGGAGCCTGCTTTGGATTCGGTGTCTCTCTCTCTTTCTGCCCCTCCCCCACTCATGCTCTGTTTTTCTCGGTCTTTTTTTTTTTTTTTTTTTTTTAAATTTTAAATTTTATTTTTTAAAATTTACATCCAAATTAGTTAGCATATAGTGAAACAATGATTTCAGGTGTAGATTCCTTAGTGCCCCTTAACCCATTTAGCCCATCCCCCCTCCCACAACCCCTCCAGTAA